TTATAAAGGCTCTTTGGAGGTTGAATAACGATCGAATAATCTATTTGATGCTTTGGTCCTGATAATTATCGTATACCGTGAAATATCGGCCTGGAAAATCGTAAAGACGTTCTAGAAGTGCTGTTGTTAATAACTGAACGATCGCGCGAGATATTTGATAATCCAGGGCAATGAAATTTCATAGCGAAGCCAGCCACTGTTCCGTCGTTTTCCAACCTGAAACTCGTAGAAAACTTGCATTGGTCGAGAGTAACGATATGAGTTTTTAAGAGGAGACTGCGTACGTGATCGCGATCTACGCGTCCATGAATTTCCCCTAGAAAATTCAATCGACCAATATTGAAATATCCAGCGAAATTTGATTGAATCACATTGTAACATTGGTCATATGGATTCGTTGATTAAACCCAGATAACTCGTTGCGCTCGATATCGATCACCATATCAATCCTATGGATATTGGTTACTATCTTTTCACGTACTAGAGAAGAACGATTAGCAGCGACAAATTGCATATTAATGGCAATGTAGAACGTGAGGCTTACGGCCAACCTGATCCTATTTCCAATTCGAATCACGGATGTGCTCGATCACTGGAAGTGCGCGACTTTACGATCCACCGCTTCCCATTGATATTTCCGTCAGCTGAATTTTATCATAGCAAAAGATAGATTCGAGCGTGCATTCGTGCTGATATTTCACTAGCATCTCGTTATTCTTCGTATAACATTAGCAATTATCAAATTAAGAACTGTCGGATGTGTGTCGTCGAATATCTTGAATAAAAAGAAGAGAATAAAATAAATTGGAATCTGATTAAAACAATAGAAATTCAGTATTTCTATATTAGGTTAATGTATCAGATAGTTTCATAAATTTGTCGCTTTTTTGCCAAAACTTTGATGTAGAATCAGTTATTGGAATCTTCAAGTAGATTAAGTATGGATTAATAACCTTGTCAGACAAGCCCTTTAGAGCCAAGATGGATATCTTTGACTTTGTGCTGGACTAAATATGTGACTTTGCATTCGTGTGTAGTGAAGTCTATTAATCTTTGGTTAAGTAGAACTAATTTCTCAATCCTTTTATACGTCAAGCTTTTGCAATTTTAGTCGCTCAATTCAATCAATGGCTTTTTTAAACGTTCAGATTTAATAGAACCTGAGATACATAATCCTAATTGACGAATTAGCAATCATGGTTTCTTTAAATGTTCAGGTCTAACAGGACTTTAACTACTGGATTCTAATTGATCAATTTACATAATCGTCGCTCATCATCATTTACATATTCATAGTCTGTAATCATTAATCATTATTTCTTCGAATCTCCGCACCTTTTAAATCCACCTTGTGTGCTTTAAACACACTGTGCCAAGATCCACTATGACACCTTCAGTTATTCTTAAAAGGGCAATTGCAACGAGGGATGGCCGAGACATTTGTCTCGGATTATACTCGCCCCTATTTGCTTTGGCGCTTGAAGGTGTGTAAACGTGGCGCTGATGCGATGAATGTATCCCAAACCCTCCTAGCGATGTCGCTTTATTTTTGCCGGCGACGGTGCTTCGGGCAATTGGGGCGTAAGTGGTGCCCGGGCGTCAAACCCTCGTTGAAGTTTAAACGACTTCGAACCTCTTCCAACCTCTCGCGCCCATCAGGCGACGCGCCTGTCCTCCTCGTAACAACTCAGTTTGCAAAGTCGAGATGCTCGCCGATAAAAGTTACATCGTTTAACGAACACGTTCTTAGCTTTCTGCGAGAGGCTCGTGTGCCTGAGGATGAGGTAGTTGGGTTCGTTTTCAGCCAAACAACAATTTGGCTCTGCTTCGCCGCATCGGCGCGCAGAAATTGAGACAGATAGGGTTTTCTTTCATTCTGTTTCTTTCTCCTTTTTACACTTTGGAGATCTGCTGCCAACCAGATAAATTTTTATATCGTACCCTGCGGTTTTGTACCAACTTAGGGGATGCAAGGGGATTTAAACGTAATGGGAAGTTATGTCGGGACGTTGGACGATAAGAACGCCAACCGCTGTGTTAAGATTTCTGATAGAGGTGAATGTTCTTGACGATCATTCGCTATTTAGATACGCTTCGGACGTTCCCTGAAATGTTTGCTTATGTTGGGTTAATTTTGGTTAGCGCAAAGATATCGTAAGTTAAGTTTTAATTGGTGTTGTTGGCTCATAAGTAGGATATTTAGTAGTTTGGGTCAAATTTTGATAAGATCTAGTTTAGATTATTTAATGTTAATGTATTTGATCGTATCTTGTATTTTGTATTTTACGTGGTAAAAGCTTTTTTAAATAATTTATTCGATATTTTATTCTAGTTATCGTGATTCTTCGATACGAAGGCTCTTGCAAATGTAATTATGAATTTCCTGTAAATCCTAAAAAAACTGATCTAGGTCCAGTTTGGATTAGATTTAGCTTAATATCGCAGATTCAGCAATTGATGTTAGATTTAGATTGATTTATAATAGGATATCATTTGGATTAAATAAACTCTAATGGATTCCTGCGCCGATGCACGATACGGTTGAAATCCCCTATTCCCGGTAAAATAATTTAAGGTGTCATAATTACTCTTGAAAGAAGGAAATCATAGAACAAGGACAGTCTTTACATACAACCGTAATGATACAGTTATTAATTTTTTGCCAGATTAGATTACACGCTTTTGGGAAAGGTAGAGAATCGTTGCTTGTGATTCGTGTGAGGAACATAGTGGAAGCTAATAAGAAACATGGTATCGCGTGATACCTGAGCAACATGCGAGCCCAGGTTTTTTACGTGAATTTATGTTAATCCCGATCCCCTGTCCCTGATACTTAAGACCGTCGGTGAACCATGATTTTACCGAAATATTAATCTACCAGTGTATCAACCCCTTTCTAAAATGTAGCTTTAACGGGGTGTGTGGTTAGGCAACATGGCTGCTAGACTAATGAAACTGCTTGTACGATGATAAAATCGATTAAACATTCGGCTTTTCCCATGATTTACATTCGTGGCTATGGTGTAAAGAAGGTTGTATACACGCATATTTTAGCATCGTGAAATATCGTAATGGTTCATATATTCTCGTGCGAAGTGTAACACTTTGCGAGAAGATAAAAATATTTCAAATATTGCATTGTTGGAACAGTCAGGAATTTTTATTTTGGCAGAATACGTTTTTCCTTTTCGTATAGGATCGTATTATTTACCACTATTCGCGCGATAGTTAAAATAGGTAGATGATTTCAGAATGAACGGATCCATACAATCAAATAATTTTCTTTTATTCGATGGAAGTAGTTAATAGTTGAGAAGTCGTATCTACTTTGTGGTTTTTGATGCTGGTGTATGTTAATATTTCCAAAGGGTCTTTTTTTTGCCTCTTAGACAAATAAATTAGAAAAATGATCTACGCCTCCAGCTTCCGTTACGGTCATCGAATAACTGCTTCGTTCGTCTCAATAAAGGCAGGCAATAAACTAAGGAGACTTCTTACGCTTTGACATTTAAAGATCTGTGAGCGTCGGTACAAAGAAGCTTCCACCCCCATGCAAACAAATTAGAAAATAATTCAACGCTTTAACTTTCATTGCAATCATCAAATAAATTCTTCCTGTTTACTCCTCTCGTCCGAATAAAAGTAGAATAATAAGTTAGTCACTCTTGTGCTTTGACATTTGAAACGCTATGGGCGTCGGTGTCCAACAGTTTCCACTCTCTAAACAAGGAAGTATCGGAGAAATAATTCAAATCTTCAGCTTCCATTGCAATCGCCAAATAACTTCCTTTTATTTGTTTTGTTACGATGGAAGTATAGTTTCACGTTACGATATTTGAAATTCTGCGGCCGTTTCCTGGCGTTTCAAGATTCCGTATGGTGTTCCAGCACACGGAATCCTCGCCGTTTCAGGCGTCACGATTCCCGACGCGGTGACAAAACAAATCTTCCTCTCGAAACTGGCGACCGGTGTTGCTTTCACAGGCTGCTGGTAATTACGTTCCCGCACCTGACAGTTATTACGGCCCTGTGCCGATGCTTCGTATGGTAGAGCCACGTGGAATTTGTGGATATTAACGAGAAGGACATTAACGGGATGATGAAATGGGCCACAAAGGAGGGGTTAATAATTGTTATTATGTGACAAGTTTCTTGTGGACGTATCATAGATAAGAGCAATAACGATGGCGGTCTTACAAATACGTTGATACTTTTGATACGATTAATTCATCGAACGTCGACTGTTCAATCGTCTCGTGCAATATTAAGCTCCTTTGATATATCAAGAAAATGAGAATCGAGGGAAGTGAATTTTAATACGAGGGCTACAGGTGAAAATAAGTCACGTCTCCTCCCTTTTTTTATAGAAGAGCGATTTTTAAATTCTGCATATCATTATACAATTCCATGTTAAAATCATTATTTCATCTAAGTTTCGAATTATTATTGATATTATAAAATCTACTTTTATATTATCGCGTATATCACGTATTAATTTGAGATTACACCACTGCAATATTGCGAAGCTGGTTTTTATACGTTTATTCTTTTATCATAAATAGAAAGGCAGAAATTTTCCACGCCCTTCAAACTTAATACAATTAAGCAAACACTTACGTATTACGAGTACTGAAGGAAATGATAACTGGATAAAAAGATAAGTGAACAAAATCTACGGAAACAAAATTTTAACAGCAAATATTAATTAATAATTAATAATTCCTCATACCTTAGTTCAAGAAAAAAAATGGAATTTAGAGCTTCGTTTTGACATATTTTCGTAAAATGTAGCCAGCTCTTAAGGGATTAATTGACAATGTAACGTCTATAGAGACAGAAGGTCAAATAATCTGAGAAAAACAGAATCCTAGTTCAAAGAATTCATTTTCACTTAAAAGAACGCTATTCATGTTATCTACGATTCGCCTGTAACAAATTTGTCGCATTTTCGGAGAAATTCATTGGTTTCAGGTATTTAGGTATGTCTGTGTTGGTTTCAGAATTCTTGGCATGCGTAGGCCGAAGGAGGAGGCAGGGGGAGAATTGAACAGGACCGAGGAGCATGGCGTAGTGCTCGTTTTGGGGGTTGCTGGGAGATCAAAGGACGCGAAAGAGGGTCTGGCCGCTCTCGAGCGGTTCGAGAGCCGGTGAGCATCGCGACGGGGCGAGCAACCCCGTTGCCTCGGCCAACGTCTAACAACCCTCCCGTCTGTCACTGTCGACGAACAACAGAACAGGTAGGGATGTAGTTTCCTATTCGCTCAAAAGAATTTCCTCCCTCGACCGTTGTATCGGTCTTTCGTAGACAAACGAAATCCGATGAAACGCCCGATCCGCGTGTCTGGACGATGAGCTTTTAAACTTTTAGTTCAATTTTGTCTACCCTTTTTTTTACGTTGTTCATTTGACGAGTTACCACATAGTACGAAATTAAATCGTACTATTTTTTTAAGAGTGATGAATTAAATAGTAGCTTGTGTTGTGTTTGAATAATTCTTTGATATAATTTGATAAAGTTGCAAACGAAACAATAATTCTTATAGATTTCTATAACTCCTTAGTGATTTACGTTTCGTATATAATTCAATACTAAATCTGGCACTGCTAATTTTTACCATTTGTATCATTTCACCTGCAAGTTTTAAGAATATTAAACTTTTTGTGTTGCTTCTTTTGCGCAATACGAGACGTGTAGTTAAACATTTGTTCGGGTTAAAAAATTATGACGAGTCAAGAACACCATGGCGATGGTAAATCGTCAAGTACGGGGATCGCGGTTTAGAGAGTGAACTTCGTGGTTTAGTATGTCGACCTGACATACCGCCATGGAACGTTTGGTGACGTGGTAACCGCAATTGCGGCTCTGTCGCCCTAACACCTTTGGTAAAAGCCACGTTATCTACGCGGTAATAAGGAATCCCGGAGTCGAGGGAAGGAAAAACACGCTGCTGCTTAACGAGTTTTCGCAAATCGAAGGATAATACCGAGGGAAAGCACAAGAGAACGAATGCTTTGGTTAAAATCCGCGAATGGGGATAATGCAAAATGAAATTTCAGAGAATAGACGTCTCTCTCGATTTCTTTGTTACGTTTTCTTTTATAGCCAAGATTAGGCTATAGTGAGCAGAGAATCTTTTTCAGAAATCGCACGAATTTGCAATGATATGCATAACAAATTCTTTTTCACATATTATAGGGTTTTTCCATTCATCCTTTCTCCCAAATTAGAAAATGTCTCGTAGGCATCTTTCATCCTGTATGTTGCAACATTGTAGTTTGGCAAGTTCCGTAGATGATATAGTAAATAATATGTGTAACGATAAATAATGCAAAAAATTTATTATATAACGAACAACTTCGAAGTGACTGAAAAGATTTACGTGTTCGTCACGGCCACATGCAGCAAAAACAGAAGTTTTCGTGGAAAGTGCGACCGAACTGGGGCTGTCCATACAAGGGTAATCGCGGTTCAAGGCTAATCTAAAGTTCGTTCGTTTGCCAGGGCGCGTTTTCATGTTGTTTTGATTCCTCGTTAAATCACGATTGCGAAATACTTTGGCAAAGTTTTGTATTTAAAGAATGCTAAATTATTAGCGAACACGCGAGTGTGTCTCAGTAGTGTATATCGATCGATAACGCGACCATGATGGAGTTCCATTTGTAACGTAGTAGTGGAGCCAGAGAATGTGAATGAAAGCAAATTAAATTTTCTTTCTTGCCAAACTATCGATGCAGCTGTGTAGGACAACTAAAAATGAGTGGTTATTTGAAACAGGAAAACTTCTCCTTTTTAAGAATTTTTAGTGGATAGAGATTGGATATAAGCACGAGGAATTAATTGAACAATTTTACGATGATTTTATGGTCTTCAAAAAGCTCTAAAGATATTATTCTCTGCTTATTCTGAAACATTTATTCAATAACGAAAAATTTGCGATAGTAGTGAAAATCTAATGATATAATTTTTATTATATGTAGAATAATATTATTCCGTATTAGTTTTTGTATTTTAATGATAATTTTTCATTAATAGCGTAGGTCTCGAAGCAGATTATTTTAAAAAGCTGTGTTTTATGAATATAGATAAATTTTAATATAGATAAATAAATAATAATAAATTTTTATATAGAAATTTTTTTTAGAGTTGTAATATGCTATTATAACAAAATTCGATCTCGTTGTATGTGTACGATATTATACGTATATTCGGGGAACAATGTAGGCGATTCATTTACATTTATAATGTGCACGGTACGGATTGTGCTCTGGAGAGCGATAAACATTACATAATAAATAGAACAACATAATGGGTAGTCGTAATTGGTCGTTACATATGAGTAATTTGCTCCATAGCTATAAGATCAGCCCTTATATGAATATACAATTTTTTTCTAATTTGCAATGAAACGGAACTATTTGAGAAACCTATAATTTTCTATAATTCTACAATATTCAACGATTAGATTTGGAATTTTCCTTACATAACATAATTCACGTATTTATATACCTCTTTGCATTAAATTTGATATCTTATTAAAATTCGGGAAAGAATATTAGGCATCTGAAAGGTAAATCTCTTTTGATACAATTTTGCAGCTTTTGTTAAAAATAATCTTCGAATAATTTCAAACCATCGATTTAGGGGTGTGTCTGGTAAATTTTCGAAAAGTCACGTGAAATTGTCATAAATCTATTTCATCGAAATAAATTTTTTCTTATATCGTAGCTCTGTAGATAAAGGCGTTAAAAGTAAAGTTGCAACACCGCAGCGTTTCTTATCTCACTGCGATGCAAGCGAAAATACCCTTTGAGAAATATTCAGTATATTATACTTAATATCTGAAACTTCTCAGCAGATGCTTTTTTTATGCAACTGGAAACCCCTTCACATCGCGGTTTACGTTTCAAATGAGTTAGTACTCGAGTTTATCGCCTAAGGAAGTTAAAATATGATAGATGAACAGTAACCTGAAGATGAAAGAGAGGGTGGAGTTTGTTGCTTCAGAGCTGAGGCTTTTTCTTTTCACGTGACATAGGATTAATCTCGGAGGATTAAATATTCATCATATTAAGGTTCGTCAACTTTTTGAATTGAGCTAATGAATAAAAGAGCTTACGAATAATGTCATTCATAATTAGCGTAATTTGCTCACGAATGTCGTAGCATCTTTCTCTCACAGTTTATGAGAGAACGTAATAGAAAATTAACTGCCGGAATCTATTACGAAGGCTTCATTATTTATTTTCAAATATTACGCACGTTGTTTCCTTTTTCCTAAAGAATTAATCGAAGAATTTTATGGTAACGAGAATATTACTTATCAATTTTTACGACGAGTTTTACTTACATAAAAATTGGTCGTAGGAACAGGTTGATAACAACGAAATGCCAATCAGGTAACGTAATCGATTCTTTAATATAGTACGAAAATAAACGAACTGGCAACCTTCGGCCTTAGTAAAATTCCATCGATAATTTATTCAACCGTGGTATTTAATACACGCTTCTTGGATTATCGTCGTCGATTACCTGGAAACTTTTAAGCCGAATTAAAAGGTTCGACAGAAGAGAAGTATGTATTTAGGTTCGCCCCTGTTCTCAACCCCAGTTTTCTTTCGTTCGAGCCGACAATAGGTCCCACAGGTCTGGTTTAAGCTAGGATTTTATTAAAACCATCTACTCATGATCCTTTGTTGCCCGACAACGAATAGGAGGGGGATGGAGAAATAAATCTCTTTTGATTGCATGGTCGTCGCATTAATGTCCGCCGGCTTCCTGCAGCCACTCGAAGAATACGAGGGGCTGGTGAGGGTGTTAGGCGAATGGGTGACAATAAGCACACCCATTCAAATTACATCGCCGAGTTTTTGTTGCTGGAAAATGCGTCGGTTCTTATAATTTCCCTTAAATGAAATTAGTGCACTCAACGTGCGTGTGGTTTCATCTAAAACCGCGATTATATACAATTTAAAATTTGAGATCGCGCGTTGCAATTCTTTCACGTTTCATCGAGGTTCCGTGTTTTTAATTGGAAATTTTTTGAAGTAATTTTTGGGAAATAATTTAGGGCCTTTTTGAAAAACGGGTGTGTCAGGGACAATGATGAATCGTGTAACTTGCTTCGAGAAGTTTATTTCCAATTTCGTAATCTGTCGATCGGATTATCCCTTAAGTAAAAGTCTCTGTGAAGAGAAGTTTCTCATTTGTCGTAATAATTGACTCAAGAACTTCGCGAGAATCGAAAAGTTCGTAGATCGAGTGAAAGGAAAAAATAAACGAAGAGGCGTTTGTTTCATTTCCGCTTCGAATAACAGTGAAAATGAAAGTACTTCCGGTTTAGTCGTTTCTTCGATCGAAGGGTCGAAACTACGTGGCATGTCAGCCAGGAGAAGAAAATTCGCTGGGGTTCTCGTGCGTTGCAAGTCGTTCCATTAATCAATACGGAAAATGAACCGCGCCCAGTGAGCCAAAATGATTCGAATTCAAAGTCGGAACGGATTCATCCTTTCACTCTGTTCTTTTGATGTTTTCTCAACATTCCAACGAAATTAGTTTGAAGCTTGATGTTCTCAATTCTGAAACAGTAATTCGTAGAAGAATTTATCTAGACTTAGAAAATGTTTCTTACATCTCATGCTACAGTTATTTGAATATTTAAAATCGAAGTTGAATACCATAGAAATATCTGCAGGAACGATGGGATCATTTAAGAAGTATCGGAATCATTTCTTTAGGCTTTCGTGAAATTTTACTAGATAAGATGAGAAACGAGAATGTATCTTTTTAAAACTGGAACTACCGAGTTTCTCAAAGTGCCCAGTGTCAGGTCTTTTTATTTCTGCTGCTACTAAAAGCGAGCAACCTTTTTCTTAATATTCATGTTGACTTTTATTGCGATCGTATCACTGCATTAACTTTAAACATATTTACATATACATATATTAACTATTTATAGTTCCGGCGTTGAAAACAATTCCCAACTTCGCTTACACGCTACTAAAATTCTTCTATGAGAGAGTGGAGGATATCATAAGACACAGATTCTGAAATATACTTGTAACTCTCATGCAGTAAACTTCCGTTGCCAAAGTTCTTTTTCTCAAAAACATAATAAAACTACTCTTATACGAAAACTTTTCGTGAAGTACCGTGTTTTACGAACGATTCGCAAGGAATAAAATAATCTTACAGCCGGGTTTTACAGCAACTCTATCGTCGAAAGAACACAAATCTCGA